GTTGGCAGCCTCTGTTTATAGAGGTTCTTGTGGTTTTTCTGCAGCTTCATGGGGTCAACCTCTCTACCCTCTTGTTGCCCTTGCCTTGACCTTCAGGAATCGCCTGCTGGAAAGCATTTTATCCTGCCATCATCTTCCCAGGTTCCTGCCCCCGACCCACCCCCAACAGACACCTTGACTCTGGGCCTAATCAGTCTCCCCCAGTGTCTGAATGGACAGCCCATCTGTATGCTGGGCTTCCTCTAGCATTCTGGAGCTGACATTGTACTCCAGAGTCCTAGACTTTTTGATGAAAAGTTCTCTTCCAGGTTGAGAGAATGAATCACAGAGAAGGAAAACCCTGAAGAACCGGAGGCTCAAAGATCTGTGACTTAGACAATGCTGCCACCCATCGGCCAAAAATAAAAGTACTCCTGGTCTTTTCACGGAGTCTGGAGTGATCTAATGGGACATCTCATGTGGCTTTGGAATGGGCAGTAGCTGCATTGTTATTACTATTATTGCTGGTGCTCCAACAATAAGTTTTTTATATCTATAACATAAGCGCAATTACAGCAGGCCTACGAGTCAGAGCTGCAGCAGAAATTGAGGTTCTGGGAATGCTGAGCAGGAAATCAGTTCAGACTTTAAAAAAGGGAGTAAAGGGGGAGAAAGGTCGGACAAAGTGCCCTGATGAGAAAAATAGACGGAGAAAGAGGCAGGTAACCCCGGCAGACTTCCAGACACCACACACTGACTGACTGAAGTACATTCACATAAGGAATCTAATTTAATCCCCACTAAAACTGCAAGACTAGCATTTTGTGCCACTAGAGCGGGTAAAGGCCAACAAAGCTACAGATTTGCAAAAGCTCACAGGTCAGACAGAGCAGAGCTGGTTTGAACTCAGTTCGGTCTGTCCCATTTCCAAAGTCCCTCCTGATTACATCAGACCAAAACCACCTGTTCTCACTGCTCAACTTGTTCAGGGCAGACTCTGAGTCTACAGGATTGTTTTCTTGTTTTAATCACAGTCTCCTGCTGGGGTGTTAAGTAAAGTCAATGTTTTCAGTTTAAAGGTGAAATGTCCAACAGAGGAATGCACACTCTGGGAAATCTGGTGCCATGGATTCTCTGTATCCAGAGGGGCTCTTCCCCCCCTTTCCTGTGCCATTTCTCTCTCCCCTATAAAATCCTCTGCCTCGCCACAGATACATTAACAGTTTAAAGCTTCGCTATCCAATTCAATGGTCACTAGCCACAAGTGGAGACTGAGCATTTGAAATGTGGCTGGTCCAAATTGATACATACTAGAGGGGTAAAATACACTAGATTCCTAAGACTTCATACAGAAGTAAAAAATATAAAATATCTCACTGAAGATTTTTATATTGATTACACGGTAACATGATAATATTTTTGATCTATCAGGTTAAATAGTTATTGTTAAAGTTAATTTCATCTGTTTTACTTTTTGATGGGGCTACTAGAAAATTTTAAATTACCTATGTGGAACCTCTGACATTTCTATTGGCTAGTACTCATTTAAAGACATGCAAACACGCTTTTGTAAATAAAGACATTTCATACATTAATTAGTACAAGATAAGGGCATGAAACCAAAATCTACTTTTTCCTCAGCTGATAGAAAACTGCCACCTGATGTTCAATTAAGATAGCTATAATTATTAACCAGCAGTTTCATGTTGTGCAGAAACTAATGAAGCCTGATTTTTTCTGTTTGTGTGTCTTACGGGTGACTGACTTGTTCACTAATTATCCCAAAGTTTTCACCCTTCAGATTACATTAATAACAGTGTAATTTAGATATTAGAAGAAGCCTATCACACTCAACAGAGAACTTCACGTTTCTTACATTAAGGAATGTAGGGTCTGTTATTGCTCCACTCAGAGCTGTGTTCCTAAGGCTATGGAATCTTCCCATCCCTACTGAGTTCAAAACCTTTAAAGTAGAGGGAAATCTCACCATGAGCAAGACTGGTCATACCTTAAGGTACCTGAGGCTCCTTCCAGGCTAAGTAGAGTTTCTTGGCAGGTTTTTCTTATCTCATCAAAAACAACCCGGGAAAGAATGGCCTTAGAGAAAGCTACAAGCCAATGAACTCCTAAAAATAAGACACATTCAAAGTTCCTAGCCAAGAATTTATAGGACCGGTTTAGTCAATGGCTCCCCAGGACGACAAACCACTGGTCCAAAACAGGAGAAGTTACCTCCTCTGCAGGGCCCTCAGAACGACAGTCACTTGGGACTAGGACACATCAGCAAGGGTCAGGGCGAACGGGAATGCTCCCTGCCTGCTCAAGAATTTTGACAAGGCTCCTCCCGCCTTGGAGCCAGACTCTATGTCCATGGTGATGCTGAGCTTCCAGACAGGAGGAGACTGGACAAATTGATTTCTCAAGTTCACCTTCAAAACCAGACTCTGATCCTCCACCCTCCACAGAAAGGAACACACCCAACAAGTTAAATTGAAATAAAAAAAATAACCTTGGCCCGAGGTCTCCTAGGAGCCCATTTGAACAGTGCACAATACAAACTCAACAGATATCTTCTGCCAGCTCCCCTCAATTTTCTCTGCTATGTGTGATATTTTCCATGGATGAGACCAGAGATGTTGGTTGTAAATGACTGTCAGATGTTTAAACAATGTTGTTGCTGAAACATGATAATTTCCAGAAGCCCCTTTTCCAAACACAGTATCTCTTGGTAAGACCCACCACAAAGAAAATGAGTTGTACAGGAAGAATGGCAGAAGATCTGGAAATTAACCAGGAAACTGGACCATAGCATGCCTCAAACAAAACAAAAAATCATTAATAGGAAACAGGCCAGCTTTTAAGGGTCATGGAAAGAATATACACCGGGTTCTCAGCAACTGGCCATGTTTCAAAGTCAGTAACCTCCAACTTGTCAGGGAGGATTGTGGTTAATGCTGCAAAAGACATGTGCTGAAAGGTTTCTAGTTGCCCTTAAATTCCTGAATTTCTACTCAGGATATCATACCACACATGTGTAAAACAGAAAAGTCTGGTAAGTTTTAAATGGTTCCTTCTGTAAGTAAACCCAATATATAAAATCTTAACTTATAAAATCAATATATTAGGAGGTAATCACATATCAAAAAAAGATAAACTTCAAACTATTTTTAAGTAAAATTTTTCCTACTCAGATTATTAGGTTGAATCGCACAAAACTGCCAAGTTTTGACTGTTTTGACCAAATAAAGCCGAAATCCTGGCAATCTCATGTGGTTCAATGCATCCATTTCATTAACAACACAGGTACTAGAAAAATGTAAAGAGAGAACTAGGAATCCCTACTAATTTCAAAGTAACAGAAATGGAGATTTTTTTTTTTAAGTAGTTCCTAAATAACAATCCAAAGTCAACAGGAAAATATTTTGTTCAACATTTTCAATTTTGGTCTACATAATTTTTCAGGAACATACCTATAGCCTGTTTTAATCTGAGTATTACAGGATGTAGTTGGTGATTACTAAGAACCTTGGTAATGAATTTGGCAATGCCTAAAATAATAGTAATAAACTCCACACTTATATATTTTCACATCCATATTTCAAACTATCTTTGAGATCAGTCTACTAAGCCACGTCCCTAAATCCTTTGTGAAAATGAAACAAAGATGGAAGAGAGAGAGGAAAAAAAAGAAGATGGACTCATTTGGATTAACAGAATTTACACACCTGAATGAGGGTTGCTTTCAAAGACATCCCCATGGGGAGCTATCTATCTACTTCTAGGTGGCACTACCACATTGCTCAGAATGTTTGTGGAATTAGTCTCGGAACTGCCTTCAAAACCATGTAAGAAAACCAGTATATTACTTAATAGTCCTATTTCTCCTCCCTTTTAAACTCCAAACTTGGGCCAACGGCTATGAACCTGCTTATTTCACAAACTTAGATCCAAATGCTTTGGGTTATTTGCTAAATACATACATAATTTATACAAACCCATAGAGCGCACAACACCAAGAGTGAACCCTAAGGTAAATTACGGACTTTGGATGATGATGTAATGTCAATCCACTGTAACAAATGTACCACCCTGGTGAAGAAGGTTGCTAATGGGGGAGGCTATGCACGGGTGAAGGCAGGGGGCACATGGGAAATCTCTGCACCTGAATTTTGCTGTGAACCCAAAGCTGCTCTAAAAAAAAATTCTTAATTTTAAAAAAATTACATAAAAATAAAATTAAAAACCACTCTTGGGAAGGGACATTTGTCTACATTGAGGATATCCAAGAATGCCCGGCACATGCTTCCCCTTTGTCCCCTTCTCCCCCCTCTTCTCCATCATCAGTACCCTCCACCCCCTGAGAGGAAGAACCAGGTGTGTTATCTATAAACCAAGGCGGTTAGGAATGAGCGGCGGGGCAAGGTCCCTGGGGGTGGCCAGCCCCAGGCCCACCGAGTGGCTTCGGTATATCCCTTTACTCTTTCCGCGTCCGCTGATGCATCTGAAGGCTGCAGAGTGTGGCCGCGACTCGAGAGGTGCGCTCTCCCCGAGACGAGAAACGCGCCGTGCGCGCGCCAACAACCAGACAGACGTGTAGCAAGCATCAGAGTAACAAGCAGGGAACGCGTTTTGCTCGCGGAAAACGGAGGGAAGTGAGAAGAGAGCTGACCGCCAACGTTTCCAGAGTTTCCTTAAACAATTACAAGGACCCATAAGTTACAAGTATTTCTCAGGCCCACGCCAAGGCAAGTGGATGTTCGCTTTAAGGCTGACAAATAGGAAGTACTTCAAGGATAAAGGCTAAGAGGTAGAGCTCCCCTCGCGGACCCAGAGAGGCGACGGAGGCCATCGCCTCCCCTCGTCTGGAAAGCGTGAAGGACTTGGAGTCTTGGGACCGGGGTCCAAGGCGCGGGGCTCAGCGCGCTCCCCGCTAGCGAGTCCGCCCCGAGCGGAGCCGCCGCGGCCGCAGAAGCAGCAGGACGCCCCGCCGCAGCCACCGCGATGCCCTCCTGAGCGCTTACCTGCGCGGCCTCCGCGTCCCTTTTATAGACGCACCAAGAGGCCGTCCAATGAGCTCAGCGCTCTCTGACGCGCTCTCCGTGCCCCGCCAATCAGGCGCTGCTATGTAGAGCCCGAAGCTGAATGGTCAGACTCCCGGGGGGCGGGGCTGGGGGAAAACAGAGGCGGGATACTGGTGGGAACGCTCTTCTCTCGCCCGGAGACACGCGGCTTAGTGAGGAATGCCCGGACTTCCAGTTGGCGGAGGGCCCCTCAGCCAGGGCTTCGTGTGGGGCGCGGAGAGCGGTTTCTGGGGAACCCAAGCACCTGAGAGCCCCCCCCGGATGGGTGCTGGGATATGGGAAGGGCCCACGGAGGCCACTCCTGGCTGCGGTCGTATACTGCCAGCATGTCAGGAGCCGGCCGCTGCAGGTGCCCGGTTCACCAAGTCTAGGGCTTGTTCCCTGGGACAGGAAAACAGAACAACCCAATGATTAATTATTATAATAATAACAAACGTCCTTGAGAGGGGACAATTGCAGCAGGTCAAATGAAAGTCTGTAATTGTGTGGGCTCAGAGAAGATTTAGGCGTGCGGGTGAAGTAAGGTTCTGAGTTGGAGAAAATGCTTGTTGGTTTTTCAGAGGAAGAAAATACTGTCAGCAAAAAAGTGAATGCAGGGCGCCTGGGTGGCTCCGTTGGTTAAGCGACTGCCTTCGGCTCGGGTCATGATCCTGGAGTCCGGGGATCGAGTCCCGCATCGGGCTGCCTGCTCGGTGGGGAGTCCGCTTCTCCCTCTGACCCTCCCCCCTCTCATGTGCTCTCTCTCTCATTCTCTCTCTCTCTCAAATAAATAAATAAAATCTTAAAAAAAAAAAAAAGTGAATGCAGCGAAGTGATTGGTATTCTGCAGAGCAGTGAGACCTCCTAAAAGGAACTAGGGTTTCAGGAAGAAAGGTTGGACAAAGATCATGGGGGAGAACAAAGAGGAAAGAAGAGGGAAATATTTGAAGTCTGGAAGAAGAAAGGAACAGCTAAGTCAGTGAAAAAAAATAGAAAAAAAAATGAAAATTCTCTAAGCTGCTGCTCTGTGGGTAGAATGACTTTTCTGGCCCACCCTCAGGATACATGGAAAATTTTTTTAAAATGATAATAATGCAAATGAAAAGCTGCTTACTTGTGGAGAAAGTTGAGGCTGATTTCAATTAGTCCTGCCCCTGAAAATCCAGGAGGTATGCTTGTCAGGCTTAGGGGTTGACTGGACTCAGGCCGAGGCTCAACTTGGTAGAGGAAGGACGCAAGGATGCCTGAATGCTTAGGAAGGAATCCTCATCCATCAACACTGAGAGTGTGTAAGAAACTGTCCTCAAGAAGCTTCAGCAGAACAATCTCAGAACATGGTCAATCCTTTATCAGAATTATTTTAGATTTGCTTTAGTTTCTTTTGTCAAATGCACCTGACACGTGGCATTGTGCTTCTGAGCCGTGCAGACCTTGTCCTTTTTCTGAAAGTATACTGTGCTGAGAGGAATCCAGTGATGATTTTTTAAAAGCCCTGCATGTGTGACATCATTGTACTTCGCAAATCACTGTGCTCCCCCACTCCCTTCTCTTCTGACAGTGTGTCTGGCTGGATGTCCTGTTCTCCCAGAGGTTTTGCATCCGTTCCACCAAAGTCACATCCCACGGCTCACATCATTATACTGTTCTTACTTCTTTTCCAAGTTTACTTCTGATTTCCACAGAGGCTGTTGTAATTCTGAGCTTATTATATTTAGAATTACTTTTCCGGGAACGTTATTAGCGAAAGGAAAGGTCTCTCTTTTCCATTATAGAGCTATACCAATGACTTAACCTTCTCAGTCTGTCTTATGAAACCAGTGTTACTGTAACTATTTTCACTTCCTTGAGCAGCTCAGCCCAGTTACTTCTCCATTTGCTCTTTAGGAATTTCTCTTGTTTCATTTTTGAATGTTTAGAGGCTCAGACCTGTCTTCGTTAGGAGTCTAGCATCCTGTTCCTCATAGAGCTCTGAAATTGGATAGCAGATCGAGGAGTGCTGGAAATAGCAGGCTGGCTCTCTTTAATTTTCTAACTAACATGGCAGCTGTGTAGCTTCTACTACTTCCTCTTTTGTACAGCTGACCCACCTTACTGATGTTTTTAAGTCATTCTATTTGTTAGTATTTAGATGAATTCTGTTGCAGGCATTCAAGCCACTTGAGGGTACAAGCGAGACTTAAAGTCTAGACCTCAGATCTATTGGCCTTAAGATCTCAGTCCCATTGTGTCACGTAGACAGGTTGGTGTGTGCTGTTCTTTGATGTCACCTTGTGTCCTTCTAAATGGCTCTCTGCCTGCTAAGTCTTGGGAGGAAAGAATTGAATAGGAATTACCTTCCCTAACTCCTGCTCTTCCATCTTTTTTAAAATGTCAAATATTTTGGACTTCCCCATTTATTCCTGAATCAGTATAGTCTGAGTATTTGGAAATGAGGTATCGGAGGAGAACAAAAAGATGAATGGAGAGAGTTGAAGTGAAGGCCTTCTCTCAAAAGCACCTGATCAGGGGACACAGCTGTGTAGGGCAGACTACTCTAGAAACAATAGGGTACCCCGAAGAAGCACTGAAGGTCACAGGCAGATCTGCACTCCATGTCTTAAACAGAAAGCAGATACAAGGGAGACAGTGCATGCTGGGGGTCATGAGCACGAGCTCCTGGATTTCGATCCCACCTCTGGCACCTACTATCTGGGCAATCCCAAGCAAGTTACTCAGCCTCAGTAAAAGGAGCTAGAATGGAATCAACTTCATAGAGTTGTTGTGAAGATTAAATGGGTCAATAATATAAAGGGCTTAAAATAGGACCTGGCTTTGAAAGTGCTATATGTGTATGAAGTAACACAATTATCAAGCCATGATCCCAAACCACAGCACTGTGAGCATCTCTGACAGAACTTGGGTATGGACAGTGAGGCGTGGCTACTTCTCATACTTCTTCCTTTTGTCAACACCAAATTATCAAACCTTTTAGAATCTCTAAAAGCAAGAAATAGAGTTTTATTTAAGCCCAAGTTGGGACAGCTGCCCAGGAAACACACTCTTCACAGGAGGAAAGTTCTCTGGAGAATGAAGTTTTTAGAGGGTTATGTATACTTTTTACATCTTGTAAAAGCTCAAAAGATTACAGATTAGCATAAAGGCAGGAATTGTGAGTTTTATCATAAAGGAATGCAGGGAGTAGGGGCATTGATCGATATCTCCAAGTCAAGATGGTTTTCCTCTAGGCTACTATTCACGAAGCGGATGTACAATGCGTGCATAGTGGGCCATAAATCAGGCTTTGGGTTTGAACAAAGTTTACATACAGTCATGTTGACTGAAAAAGAAATCTAAAACCTCTTCCTGTGTATAAACCAGACCTTTAGAGAGTTTTTCTCTCATCACTTTCTTGCCATAGGATGTCCTTGGTGCCCAGCAAGCTTTCACTTAAACTTCAGGGAAAGCATCAGAATCCATTTTCATCTCTACTACAGGACAAGGATGGATACGAACCATCATCACGATGCTGGAAATCCCCCCACACGAGTTCCTCTGTGACCCTCCCAGCATCCGCAGCAGCAGCGGAGGAAGAGATGCAGGACTTCGCCATCTGCCCCCCACCCCTCTCCCCCATAGCTGCCAGTATTCCGCGATCAGATCCTTCAGCGCCGCCAAGGACGCGATAGGGGCAAAGAAACCAGTGCCCTGAGATCCTAGATCCACCACGGAAATGAGGCGCTGCTTCTGGGCACAACCCAAGTGACTTGCAAAGGTGCCGGGTAAAAGGCAGTATCTAGAATATCTAGGGAGTGAGAAGGTGGAGCACTTGATGGGAAGTGACAAAGTGGCCACAAGGTGGCACAGAAGGACAAGAGACTCTGTTTTGCAGGAGGGCCCTGACTCCGCCATCTTTAATGCCCTTGAAAGTGCTCTTTGCAAACGCTCCCATCTTCCACATTCCACAATCTGTGGTCTTTTCTCTTTCCCTAGTCCCTCCTTCTTTTCAGAAAGTTTCAGTTTTCATTGTTACGGTGGTGTGGGTTCCTTTTCTCCCAGTTGCCCCGATTGCAGGCCTCTACTTGGCAACCCCCTGCTTTGAAAAGCAAAAGTGGCTCCTCCCGCAAATCTGTTAAGTCCCATGTTCCGTGGAAGCTGAGCAAGGCAGGTGGCGGGGTTCCACTAGCTTCAGCATTTCACCAGTCAGGCTGGGGGCCGGTAGCGCTGCATGAGGAAAGCTGCTGGCTTGCTTTATGTCACCTTCACAAATGTCCTAAGCGGCGTCACTGTGAGTTTTCCAGATGATAGGATCTTCTACAGAGGACACAGATGGAGGCATTGAAATTGGGAGAGGGCTATCCAACCACAGGGGTCCTTCTCTCCAAAGCCCTCGGTACTGTCCCCCGTCTGAGAAGAGGCAACCTGGACGGTCTCCCCCGTGTCCCAACGTGGCACTTCGGACTCCACCTTGGCTGTATCTGGGAGGATGAGGAGCCCCACAGGAGGATCAGACATCTCAAATAGAGAGTTTTCTTCTTCCCCTGTCTTCCTCAAAATGAAGCCTACTGTAAAAAGTCCTTAGTAGTTCCAAGAGCATGTTAGCCACCACACCTTTGCTGTCTGCCCCTCTTCAAAAATCAGTTTGTTTGGGCACCCAGGTGGCTCAGGTGGTTAAGCGTCTGCCTTCGGCTCAGGTCATGATCCCGGTGTCCTGGGATCGAGCCCCACGTCGGGCTCCCTGCTCGGCAGGAGCCTTCTTCTCCCTCTCCCTGCACTCCCCTTGCCTGTACTCTATCAAATAAATTTTAAAAAATCTTTAAAAAAAAATCAGTTTGTTTTAGGGCTGATCCTAAATGTAGATTTCTTTAGAAAATGCAGCTCACTGGTGTGTAACTAAAAATCCATAAATATGCCCTAAAGCAAAATCTAAGGAGATCTCCCACTCTTTGTCCTGCATCAGACAAAAAGTGTCCTCTCTCCTTCCATGAGGGGAAAGAAGATTGGCTAAGTAAGACTAAAACTTTGAGGAGAAGT